GATCTTTCCCTTTTACGTACCTGCCTATTCTCCTGTAGTCGCACACATTCTCTCTGTTTGTAAGACCTTCCACGAGGCCAACAATTTTATCTACTACTTTAGCTTCTTCTACAGCTCTTTCTGACCTAGATGTTATCGCCTTTTCTTTGCAGCCAAAAATGATCAGGGACTTACTCCGATCAACTGTGTTTTGCACCAACTTCGGGTTAGATGCCAATTCTTTCCTCACTTCTAGCCTAATGTTTGTTTTATCTTGGTTGCTGCAGTGTTTGACTTCCTTTACTGCTTCTTCTATTTTTTCCTTCTCCTTGGCCACTTGTGCATAAGTGAGTTGCATATCTTTCTTGCACTGTTCTATTCCCTGTGTAACTTCCTCCATCTGTGCTGACAAAAGCTGTTTCTCCTGTTGAATTTCCTTGCCTAACCTATTGTAGTCATTTATGTTTAAATTTACTTTAACTTCTTCCAAAGCTATTTTTAAGAGTTTATTTTCTTCTTCCATGGCTTTGCAATTTGTTTCCAATTGATTCTTATCCTTGCGCAAGTCTTTCACTAAACCCTCAAGACATAAAACTTTGCTATTCAAATGGTCATTACTTTCTTTCAATTTACTAATTATTTCTACATGAGAGTTCACTATAGTATCTAAATTTACCAACTTGTTATGTAGACTACTAATATCAATGCTTTCTTCATTGAATCCCTCAAAATCAAGCTCTGTTTTGTTTTTCCCCTTGCCGGTGGCCATCTTGAATGTTCTTCTCTGCACTGTAAACACTAGGGGCAACTTTTTCTCATCCGATTCTTCACTTCCCTTAGCACTTTCCTGTTATCTCACCTATTTTTCAAGAGCACTATACCTTTATGTTCTGTGGGACACCACTCACTACCATCAACCTGTACTACAATACTTATTATTGTTGAAATATGCTGGAGCTCCTCTGCTGCAAGTGTTGACCCTAGGGGTGTCACCTTTTTGGTGTTTCGGTTCCTGTGCCTCTTGGGCTCTGTCATGTCTACATGTGACATTGTATGGGGGTCAGCCTCGTTCCTTGTGTGAGGAGTCGCCACATTACTTCTTAGTGCCTTCCTGTTCCCATTCTGACACTCAAGAAAAAAAAAAAAAAAAAAAAAATAACTTTAATTCTATCTGTGGCTCTTTTGGGTCCTCGGTTTCCACCTGTGTCCCCTAGTGCGTGTGCCCCTTGTGTTACATAGCCTGTCCTTCTCAACCCTGTCGATTCCCTTGGGTATCTTGTATGTGGTGATCAGGTCTCCCCTCACTTCCTCTTCCAGCGAAGTGTGGTTTCATTCCCGTAGTCTCTCCTCATGACTTCGGTAGTGTACTTTTTCTTTCTGAAGGGGTTCTGTTCCCTTCTCTGTTGACTGGGCGCTGGGGGAGCAGCTTGCTCTGTTGCCTCTCGCTTGGTCCCGCTGTTGGTGGGCGCTTTGGGTTGTCTTCCGGCCTCTGCTGGCGTCGGAGGACGGCTTCTCCCCCTTGGGGGGGGTTCAGAGCTGGCGGGGTGAGCTTCTTCCCTGCGCTTCGTCATTTCTTCTTCGTGGGTGCGTGGGGCGTGGTCGATCCGCCCCATCCTTCTGGGCTCCCGTCTGCTCTTTGCAGTCATGAGCTTTTCCAGTCTGCAGTTCTTCTGGACTACTTCCGTCTGCGCCCTGGATCCTCTGCCCTGCTCGGAGGACTGTTGTCTCCTGTTCGGATTCTGTTAGGGCCGGGTGCATGGATGGTGGACCTGGACCTCCTGGTCACTTCTTGGCACGTTCCTCTCCAGTTTTTCTGGGGCTAGCACGGTTGGTAATTACCTATGTGTACTTACCTAAGTGTAGTTACAGGATGAGAGCTATTCTCGTGGTGTCCCGTCTTCCCAGCACTCTTTGTCATATAATGCTTTGATTATATTTGTCATATTGTCATATAATGATTGTCATATGTCATAATGTCTTCATATGTTTGTCATACAATGCTTTGGTGGTGGGGCTTCAGGTTTGCTGTTTTTATTGCATTCCCTATTTTGTGAAGGGCACTTTGTATACTCTTTGCATCTTTACCGGATCTTAGTGCCCTGTCTGCGTCTGAGATTTGGTGTCTGGCCTACCTCGACGACTGGCTGGAGTGGGCTCCCAGTCAGTCCGCTTGTCTGCTCGCCAGGGGATGGTTCTTTCCAGATCGCTGGGTTTGGTTTCCTGGTGAGCTGGAGGTTTTACCTTCTGTTTCCGTCCTGGGTTCGGACCTGGGCCTTGTTTCAGGCTCTTGGGCCCCTCATTGTCTTCCCTCCAGAAGTGTTACTGTGGCTGTGGTCCCGCCTTTGGCTGTTCAGGAGGGGGTCCCGGGTTGCTCAGCGGTTGCTTGGGCGGTTGTGCGGGAGTTTGCACTTCGGCGTGCTTGTCTGCCCGCGGAGTCGGGTTTGGCTCCGGCGTCGGTTGGTTCCTACGGAGACTCCACTTCCGCCTCTTGCATTCCTTGGGTTCCTCTGGGGATCTGGTGTTGGTGCTGCGTCACCAGCTTCCTCTTTGGGGTTTTCGGGGTTCCGTGCCTTGGCGGCTCCCCGAGCCTTCGCTCGATGTGTTCACGGACGGGTCGTCTCTCGGCTGGGGCTTTGTGACCAGTGCTCACCAGGTCGGCCGAGGTTGATGGAGTCTGTCTGTCCGTCGGGCTCACAGCCCGGTTCAGGTGTTCATGGCTGTCTGGTTTGCGCTTCGGAGGGTTTGGGTCACTAGGTACTCTACCATTCAGCTCTGTTTGGACTGTTCTCTGGTGGTTCTTGCCGGAACCACAGGGGGTTTGGTTAACCGTGTGGTTCGTGTCCGGGGTGTGTCCTGCGTCCTGGTGGACAGCTGTCTCGTTTCATTCCTCTTCGTGGGTTGGCCAGTCGTCGCCGATTCGTTTTGTTGGCTCTGTTGGGCTTATGGCCTCCTGGCCATGGACGTCTTCGGGTCGGCGTGGTCTAGGCGTCGCCCGTTTTGTGGCGCCCTTCCCACCTGCGAGGACTTCACGGTGGAGGCTTTCGGCAGGCCTAGTCAAGGTGGGGGGTACCTGTACCTCTTCTCCCGGTCCAGCTGTTGCTTCGGGTTCTGGCTCAGTTGCAGCCCATTCCCACGAGAACAGTCCTTATGGTTCCACTGTGGCCGGCCCGGCCTTCTTTTCAGACGCTGCTTGATAGGTGTCCGTACCCGGGGCGTTTTTCCTGAGGCTTCGCCTCTTTCAGCAGGCCGAATCGGTCCTGTCCGTGACTGGTTCGGCCTTCTCTTTGGCTCTTCGCGTCTGGTATTTTGACGCAGGTATCGCCATCTCTATGGTGTTCAGGTGGCTTTGTTGACGGTGTCCCACCTGCGAGCTTCGTCTTGGAGACTGTATGACGTTTATTACGTCTTCTCGCGTTTTGTTTCCCCTCCGGCCTGCTCATGAGTCGCCTGAGCCATCCTGGTCCTTGTTCAGGGTGCCTTCTTCTCTTCCCCTCAGTTTGTGGTAGCCCCTTCGGTTTCAGTTTCCTCTTTGGTACTGGTGGTAGCTTTATTGGTGTGCAGCCTTTCTCTGTCCTGGCGACGGTCGAGACGGCTGCTTTCCGGAGGGGTTCTTGGGGTATTGGTACTTGTTTGGTTTGGCCGGGGGGTGCGTCCTGTGTTGTCCAGTTGTGCTTTTTGCTGTTGCCGGCGTACCGTGCCGGGGGATGCGCTGTGGTTGATCCGGTTCTTTCGTTCCCTGTTTTCAGGGCTCGGGTCTCCCGGGTCGTCCGCAGTGTTTTCCTTCTTACTGCGGTCTGTTTTTGCGCCCGTGCTGTTCAGACGTTTGCAGCAATTGCTGCTGTGTTGGTGACGTCTCGGGCTCAATTCGGGCGCAGGGAATTGTGGGTCGCACAGGTTTTTGGCCGCCCATCCATATGTGCGTCTGTTCTTGGGCGTTCTTGTTGCCTTGGGTCGCAGGTTTGCGACCGGTTGTCTTGGCTTTGCGTTGCAGAGTTTGTGGCGGCCGCCTCCCGGGTTAGCCCTTTCTTTTCCTTCTCTTTGGGTATGAAGCTCCAGGGAGCCGTAGGGGCTCCCCACAGAAAACCAGCGTTGAATGTAATGAAACGCCATTTTCTGGGTGAGCCCCGGAGGCTCCCTGGAAACCCTCCCTCCCACCGGTCGGCGGTTTTTTCGCGTTGGTTGAAGCTTAGCTTCCGAACTGGAGCTTGGCAGCCGGCGTGGTAGGTCCGGGGCTCCCCCCTCCCCCTCTCGGGGTGGGGAGGGCTGCGCGGACGATCGGCGCGGCAGTAAAGTGTGATGTTTGCTTGTTTGCTTGTTTCCTTGGGATTGTAGGGAGTTTTCTACCTCTCTGTTCGGTTTTTGTTGTAGTTTCTTACCATGTGGGGTTTGTTTTGTTACGCCTACCTTTCTGGGTGCCTAACCCCGGTCGATGGCAGATAAGGAAAACCCCCAACCATATGGGGTTTTCCAGGGCCATTGCTCCCTGAAACCTCTCTGAAGGGGCCAGGTTCTGGCGCTGGTCCCTGGTAGGTCTGAACTCCTTAGCTAATGTCCCGGTCTAACATAACACACATTAGCCCGATAAGCTCCAGGGAGCCTCCGGGGCTCACCCAGAAAATGGCGTTTCATTACATTCAACGCTGGTTTTCTCTCATCTTTTATTTTTTTTCTTGCTATGTAACTGTTATCATTTTTATAAATTTTGTAAGTATTTACCTACTTAAAATTTTCTTAGATAAAGGACCTGCCCGAAATGCTGCACGTACTAATGGCATTGCGAGAATGTAATTACTATGCTATGTATCCTCACAATCCCAATGTACCTTCTAGTATATACTGTATATAAATAAATAAATAAATAAATATGCATATATGTAGGTACAGTGATGGATGAATAATAAGTATATATTTGAATCCTTAGGTAAAGGTATGGATGGATTTGCAGGTGAACATTCTAGTCAATATTTTAGAATACTGTAAACACAAATGAATGCAAACATAAACAAATTTTGTTTGGCCAGGATATACGCCACTGTGTGAGGCAGTGTGGCATAAGGACATCAAACTTGTTCAAATGCTTCTAGCAGCTGGAGCCAAAGTCACCCAGTCACACTACCTACTTCACTATGCAGTCCTTCATAGACATTATCAGGTAAACAAAGCAAAGGGAAACCTTGAGTGAAGAATAATACAGTACTGTATTTGATTTGTTATGTATTTATAAGCTTGGGAGTATTGAACTTCATTTTCGTAAGGTTAAATCTGCTTTGACTCTCTATGGTTTTGTGTTACTGTAGGAAGTATATTAAATAATGAAAGGTATTGTATCATATATGTTGCATTTATATGAAGAGGTAGAATTAGAGTTTAAGTTAAGTAATTCCTGTAATGTAAACATATATCTTAATTGAACACTATGAAGTTTTAGTCATAATGAAATCACTATATTTATTCACATTGTTTATGCAATTTGCCACTTCTTAAGATGAGATTCTATTGGCCTCTCGATAGGATCTGCAACAGTCAAGCAAGTCATCATTTTGCATAGATCTGATGGGAACCCTTTTAAATTGCAGCCACCAAATTATTCAAATTTTTTCAAAATGAAAAAGAAAAGTACTTATCATAAAACCCAACAGCCCAACTCAGGCTCAATTAGTCGACATATTAACCCTTTAACTGCGCAACGCGCCTGCAGGCCCAGGCTTCGGGTGCGTAACACGCCTCCGGGTGTTTTTATTTTTCACGTTCCATTCAAAACTCCCGCGGCTACATGGGGTTCACATCAGCTTCCTCAGGGCTCTTATAAACAGACGCCATCTTTAAAAAAAATCATGGTCCACATTCCCAGGTGTCAGAGCCTCAGTAGTGAGTGAGCAACCAAGGCTGGCGCTCGTAGCATGAGCGCACAGCTCTGCTGTTCAGCGTGTGACCACAGTATCGCCTAATAATGTCAAAATATATGTATAACCTGTATTATTTAGCCATGATAGTATTATAGAAGAGAAGTGAAATTCAGCAGTCTCCGTGGTGTAGTGGTAAGACACTCGCCTGGCGTTCCGCGAGCGCTATGTCATGGGTTCGTATCCTGGCCGGGGAGGATTTACTGGGCGCAATTCCTTAACTGTAGCCTCTGTTTAACGCAACAGTAAAATGTGTACTTGGATGAAAAAACGATTCTTCGCGGCAGGGGATCGTATTCCAGGGACCATAGGATTAAGGACTTGCCCGAAACACTACGCGTACTAGTGGCTGTACAAGAATGTAACAACTCTTGTATATATCTCAAAAAAAAAAAAAAAAGCCTGAGTGTGATAATGACTGGGTACAATGTTCAAATATCAGTGATACAATGCTGTTCACTATGTTCACATTGCTAGCCACAGCACCACAGCATTATTTCGTCCATCTAGGAATCTTCAAACGACTTCTTAGGTTCCATTTCAAAATAAACTTGTGGTCAATTATTCATTTACAGAAATTAATGACCAGGATTGTGGTTATAATTAGCGTTGTGCGTAGTACTGTGGAAGGAGGAATTTTGGTGAGGGAGGGAGGAAGGGAGAGAATTGAGGTAGCCTCACTGTGTGGCAGCTTCTCTTGTTTTGCTCACCATACTAGCTTCGTGGTTCGCTATGGGGAACACACATGTACATGGGTATATACAGTGTGTGTGTGTGTATATAGTGTAATAACAGCAACCGGAGTATGTTGAGAGGAGCTAAGAACATAAAAACATAAGAACAAAGGTAACTGCAGAAGGTCTATTGGCCCATACGAGGCAGCTCCTATTTATAACCACCCAATCCCACTCATATACATGTCCAATCCACACTCGAAACAATCAAGGGACCCCACCTCCTCCACGTTACGTGGCAATTGGTTCCACAAATCAACAACCCTGTTACTGAACCAGTATTTACCCAAGTTTTTCCTAAATCTAAACTTATCCAATTTATACCCATTGTTTCGCGTTCTGTCTGGTCCATACGAGGCAGCTCCTATTGGTCCATACAAAGCAGCTGCTATTGGCCCATACGAGACAGCTGCTATTGGCCCATACGAGGCAGCTGCTATTGGCCCATCTGAGGCAGCTGCTATTGGCCCATACGAGGCAGCTGCTATTGGCCCATCTGAGGCAGCTGCTATTGGCCCATACGAGGCAGCTGCTATTGGCCCATACGAGACAGCTTCTATTTGGCCCATACGAGGCAGCTGCTATTGGCCCACACGAGGCAGCTGCTATTGGCCCATACGAACATAAGAACATAAGAATAAGGTAACTGCAGAAGGCCTATTGACCCATACGAGGCAGCTCCTATCTATAACCACCCAATCCCACTCATAAACATGTCCAACCCATGCTTGAAACAATCGAGGGACCCCACCTCCACCACGTTACGCGGTAATTGGTTCCACAAATCAACAACCCTGTTACCGAACCAGTATTTACCCAAGTCTTTCCTAAATCTAAACTTATCCAATTTATACCCATTGTTTCGTGTTCTGTCTTGTGTTGATACTTTTAATACCCCATTAACACTTTCGCTCACCCCGCGCGCCACCCCTCGACAGGGCGATATGGGCCCCAGCGTGTCACGGAAGCGCGCATTAATTCCGAAAAGTGTATACTCTCTTCAACTTTGTCACCTCAATTCTCCTTCTACGAGAATAAATTTGGTATCATTGTGTTCGCAATAAAATTCTCTACAGCACTAAATGCATATAAACTCCAAAAGCCCGGCTAATTACCCGCAGCAAACAGAGAAAGTGCGAACGAGTTACCCGGGAGCGCGCAAACGGGATAAAATGTTTTCACTATTTTCACTCTGGTCACCTCAATTTTTGTCCTAGGTCTTTCATTTTGGTCTCAATGGGTTCGTAATAAAATTCTCTAGAGGAACATTAGCATATAAAAAAAAACACCTGGTCACGCTCCAACCGCCGACGAGTTGAAGACGGGCCACGCGTTAGCCGTGAGTGAGCGCTCAGAGGCCTTCCTACTACACTCCCAATTCCCACCCTTTTCAAGCCTTTCTTTCGCAATTTTCTTCCTGGAAGGGCCTTGTTCATGATTACTATCCATCGTGGAGTAAGCGTAGATAGTTTCTAAAGCCGCAGTAAGAAATATAGCCACGGAAAATAGCCGAAATGTTCACACGTTTGAGATGCGAGGGGAGACGACATTGGTCACAACAGTGGAGCAAAGACAATGGGCCCATGGCGTGTGCCAAGCCGCCTGAGGGCCACGAGGCTCAACAAAGGAAATGGGAAGACATCGGCGCACATTTTAAAACCAGTCCCCAAAAAATCGGATACAAACCTGATTTTTGGCGAATTTTTAAAGTGGATGACGCAATGCTGCGTCATCCCCGGCATTACCGCCAGTAAACGGATGACGCAATGCTGCGTCATCCCCGAGCGAAAGTGTTAATATCCCCTTTGTTATGTCCATTAATCCACTTGTAAACCTTATGTCACCCCTTACTCTTCGCCTTTCCAGTGAATGCAAGTTAAGCTTTGTTAATCTTTCTTCATATGAAAGATTTCCAACTTGGGGAATTAACTTAGTCATCCTACGCTGGACACGTTCAAGTGAATTTATATCCACTCTATAGTATGGCGACCAAAACTGAACTGCATAATCTAAATGGGGCCTAACCAGAGCAAGATATAGCTGAAGAACAACACCAGGTGTCTTGTTACTAACGCTTCGATTAATAAATCCCAGTGTCCTATTTGCCTTATTACGAACATTCAGGCATTGATCCTTTTGTTTTAAGAACATAAGAACATAAGAACAAAGGTAACTGCAGAGGGCCTATTGGCACATACGAGGCAGCTCCTATCTATAACCACCCAATCCCACTCATATACATGTCCAACTCACACTTGAAACAATCGAGGGACCCCACCTCCACCACGTTCGTTACGCGGTAATTGGTTCCACAAATCAACAACCCTGTTACCGAACCAGTATTTACCCAAGTCTTTCCTAAATCTAAATTTATCCAATTTATACCCATTGTTTCGAGTTCTGTCTTGTGTTGACAATTTTAATACCCTATTAATATCCCCTTTGTTGTGTCCATTCATCCACTTGTAAACCTCTATCATGTCACCCCTAACTCTTCGCCTTTCCAGTGAATGCAATTTAAGCTTTGTTAATCTTTCTTCGTATGAAAGATTTCCAACTTGGGGAACCAAGTCAGTTCAAATTCTTCCCCACAGAATTTTTCTGTGGGGAGCCTCTACGGCTCCCTGGAGCTTATCGGGCTAATGTATGTTATATTAGCTAAGGAGTTCAGACCTACCAGGGACCAGCGCCAGAACCTGGCCCCTTCAGAGAGGTTTCAGGGAGCAATGGCCCTGGAAAACCCCCTTATGGTTGAGGTTTTCCTTATCTGCCATCGACCGGGGTTAGGCACTCAGAAAGGTAGGCATAACAAAACAAACCCCACATGGTAAAAAACTAAAACAAAAAAATGAACAGAGAGGTAGAAACTCCTACAATCCCAAGGAAACAAGCAAACAAGCAAACATCACACTTTACTGCCGCGCCGATCATCCGCACAGCCCTCCCCGCCCCGAGAGGGGAAGGGGGGAGCCCCGGACGTACCGCGCCGGCTGCCTAGCTTCAGTTCGTAAGCTAATGTCAACCGGGATGGACGCTTTTCTGGCCTCAGTTTCCTAGGCGGTGTTTGCCTTGTGTGGCGTTCACTGCCGTGTGTTGTGTTGTGCGGTGGCCAGGAGTACCTCATCAGGGCCGGGGCTGCATGCGCTTAGGGGCTTCCTTCCCTAAGCGCCCTGTGAGTACTGCCCTTGCGTGACAAGATTATCTTCCCTGGGGCGTTTGGGAACCATTTCCCTAGAGGTTCTTGCTGCTCGGCATTTGCCTTGCCCTTGGGGCCAGCTGGGGCTTGGGGCCCTTGTTTGGCCCTGAGTAGGGACTGGTATTGTGCTGGTTAGGGCGTCAAGGTGTTGCGCGACCTGCCACCTAAGCAGCAACCGGTTTCTGTTGCCTCTGGAGACGGTGTACTTTTGCGGGGATTTTCTTTTGTTTTTATTTTCATTTGCCTGGTGGGGGTCTGCTTAGTGTGGCTATAGTTCCACTGGTAGTGTTTGGCGGCCATCTGCTAGGTCCCCGTAATTGTACACGTCGCAGGGGTTTTCAGTGCTTTCCTCTACCCTCTTGTTATTTTGGGGTTTCTTAACCGGTTAGCAACACCTTGCCCGGGCTTCCCGTAGCAGTCAGCCTACAGGCCCTGGAAACCCCTGTCTGGGCTCGGTGGACCATTGAATGTGTCTTCCGGGTTCCAACCCGTCTTGTATGGGATTGTTGGATGCTGTGCCCTTGTCTCTGGGTGACAGTCGCCACTTTTACCTCCATCATGCTGCCTGTTGGGTCACTGACACCTTGACCCGGAGTCTTGCGAGAGAGATTCTCTGCTTGTTCTCCAGTACTCTCCTGATGTTATTACTGTTCAGAGTACAGGCGGCATCCGTGTTGCAAGCTAGGTTAGGTTGCTGCAACACGCTAGGTTGGTTTCCCACTCGGCTGCCCTGAGGCCGCCCCGTTTTGGTTAGGTGCTGTTCGCCCCTTTCCCTCCCTGTTCCCGGCTCTGGACCGTCTGTGGGTTTCGGGTTCGGGGCGGGGTTTAGTTGGGGCCCGAGACTCGGGCGGTTTTCGGGGGCTGCCCCGTTCGGGTTGGGGACAGAGGTTTTCGAGCCTGTTCCTCCTGCCAAAGCTTCTGGGTCTTACCAGCGGCCCTTTCTTGCTGCTTTTCCCATGGACTCTTCCTTTTCTTTATGGGCGGAGGGCTTGGAGGATGGCTCTGCCCCGGGGCCTCTGTTGCTGGTTCCCGGGGTTGTGGGGGATGCCTGCTAGCAGTTCTGGGGTGGTTTGCCCCTGCCTGGGTTTTCTGCTTTTGGGCGGAGTTTTTTTCCCATCCAGTCTGCTTGCTTCCCACTTTTGCTGGCGTGTTTTCGTATCTTTTGCGTCGGTCACAGCCCTCTGTTCTGGTGGCCATTTTCTTCTGCCAGTTTCCCGGCATGGCCACCAGGGCGGCGTTGCGGTTTGTTTACATGTGCCTGGGTGTGCGAGCAAACATCTGGGGTGAGTTTTTTCACCCTTTTTCAGGGGTGTTATTCTCCTGTTGTCATTTCTTTGCTTTTCTGGTGTTTTCTGCCCGTTTCCTGTTCCTCTGGGAACGTTTGAGTGTTGATTTTACACCGGGTTTTCCATTTTGTCTGTTTTGGGTCTGGGCCCTTGGGTTTGGGCTCAGTGTCCCTGGCTGTTATGCCTGCTTCCATACTCGGCTTTGTCCTCCTCATTCTGTAATATGTTCTGGTCTGATATTTGGGCTCAGGGGTTTTTGCATTCTAACAGGGTTCAAGCAGCCCAGTATTTGGTCAGTATTCCTGGTCCCAGTCAGTCTTGTGTGGCTATGGACCATGTCTCCCAGCCATGGTTCTCTTCGTCTTAGTACCAACTGCCTTTCTTCTATTGGGGTAAGTTACATTCTTGTTCTCTGCAGTTAGTTTCAGGGAGCCACTGGGAAAAGCTCCATCCAGAAACCCAGCATTGAATATAAGTAAATGGTACTTTCCTGGGGAGCTCCAGTGGCTCCCCAACTCCCTCCCTCCCTCCCTCTCTCCTTTCAGGTTCATCGTAGACCTGACCTGAGTAGCCAGCTGAAGGCCGGGGCCAGTCCACCTGGTGGTGGTAATCATTACTAATGAGTTTTGAGTTACTTTGAGTGATTCCCTTGTTATGTATGAATTGTTTCCAAAGTTATTTGGTAGATTTGAAGCTTTGTTGTCTGTGAAGCCTCCAATTATCTGTAAACTTGCACTGATTTTCTGAAGCCTTTTTCCCCAGGTTGGGTTGTGGATTGTTACCCATTACCTGCATCTCTTTGAGGGGGGCTAAGCTCTGACTTGGGTCCTTGGTATGCTAAACAGAACTTCTGCAACTTATGTGACCTTTTAGTAGGGACTAATCTTGCAAAGGTATCCTCAGGGAGCCACTGGGGCTCCTCAAGAAAGAGGCATTTAATTTATATTCATTGCTAGATTTTTTTGGGGTATAAATTGAAAATTCCAAAATTGTGTATCAAGAAAAGGTAAATTAAACATACTGTACTACTTTACTGTATTTTCAGTTGGCCGAACTGCTGCTGGGCGCCAGATGCATTGTAAATCTTAGGGATGACAATGGAGACACTCCACTTATTATTGCTGCCCGCACCTGCCAACCTTCCATTATAAAGCTTTTGTTAAAGCATGGTATGAATAACCATATATAAAATTATAGCTTGTGTATATATTCTCTATGTCAGTTCTTCCTTTCTGGGAAGAGCCCTGGTGGCTTCCTGAAGTTATCTCACTGAGATAACCCCTAACTACTGGATCGCATCAGCTGTGGGGATGAGTTTAGCTTACAAGGGACCGGAGAGAATAAACCTGACACCCCCTCCCTACCCTTACAGAGGTAGAGAGAGCAAGTGACACTTTGCCACCTTACTGGGAAAAAGCACCCAGAAAGTCAGCAAACCAATACAGACCACTGCTGGGTTCTGAGGCTGATGCCTAGCAATTTGCCAAACGAACTCCCCCAGCAATATAAATAACTCATCAAAATTTTTTAGAACAAGTGTATGCCCATTCATCCCACCCCTTCCCACTTGTTTGGGGAAGGAGATAGGTGCTGGGGTTCACCGCTGTCTACTGGTTCAAGCTCTCAGTTCCTCTGCTGATTGCAATGCCCTCCAGACATCTGCAGTAGGGCCCCAGGGTCAGCAGTACTGGCCCCGGTGTTTTTCAACTAAGTGCTTTTCTAGACTTTGTCCTGTTTGCTTTGTTTTGTACACTGTGATGTTGTGTGGGCTTAACTTTTAGCATGGGTCTCGTTGACCCCTCTTTCTTGATCTGGGTCAGGAGCTAGCATTGGCTGATGGTACATACTTGGGAACTTGAACATATGGCATCCTGAGGTCAGCATTCACAGCCATGTAGCCTACTTTTAGGTCTGAAGTAGCATCCCCAGTGCCTGGGTGTCCTGTTTGGTTTACCCTTCAGGCTCTGGAAATCTCCTGTGAGTTCGGTGGTCCTATGGATATCCCTTTCCCTAACCTACTCTTTCTTTGTGTGAGTTTGAGGGTTACTCGTTGTCCATGCCACGTGGTGACGATCACTCGTTCTGCATCTGCTGTGCTGCCTGTTGAGTCAGTGACACCTTTGACCCTGAGTCCTGTTGGGTTTGTTCTTCACACTTGTGACTCTTCTCTTTGGCCATCTTGATGAAATTAGGGCATACCAGGCAGCTTCTGCTTTGTGAGTTCATTTTGCTCAATTGCAGCCTGCTAGGTTAAGCCCTGTTGGATGCCCTAGAGCTGCCTCGTTTGGTGTTTAGGGACCCGGAATTGTAGGTGTTGGTGAACTCCACTTTGGCTTTGTTTACACCTCTTCTTTCCCTTTGGGCTTGGTTTGCCCTTCTGATCCTGCCACCCCAGCTCATGGCCCTTAAACATCTGAGGGTTTCCTGGTCCAGACAGGGTTTAGCTTGGGATGTGGTTCAGCCAGCTCTGAGGGTTGCCTCCTCCGAATTGGGTGCGGATGCAGTTAGCCGATCTGTTTGGTCGAGGCTTCAGAATTTTCCCTCCAGCCCCCCCTCCCATCCCCCATCTCCCTGCCTTTTTGAAGCTTCTCCCATGGACCGTTTCCTTGTCTCTTCCTACGGCAGCTCTGCTTCGCCTGTGTTCTCGCCTTTGTCTGTTCCTGAAGGGCTCCCTGGTCAGTTTGGGTCGGTTGCTGTGTGTCAGTTGCTGCGTCGCCTGCTTCCTCTTCAGATTTTTTGGGGTTCAGTGCCTTGGCACCTCCCTGAAAAAGCCCTCCCCGAGCCCCTCACTCGATGTGTTCATGGTTGCGTCATCTCTTGGCTGGGGCTTTGTGACCAATGCTCACCAGGCTGGTCAGAATCGGTGAGGTCCGTCCTTCCGTTAGGCTCAAAGCACGGTGCGAGAGTTCGCGGCTATGTGGATGTCGCTCGAGGATCGATGATCAGGCTCCATTTGGACTGTTCTCCGATGGTTCATTGCCTGAACCGAGGGGGGGCGGGGGTTCCATGCGATCCTTGGCTCTTTGGGGCTGGTCGCTTCGAGTGACTCATCTGCTGAGTTCTCAGGGTTTGGCTCTCCTGGCGGTTTACGTTCGGGGGTTGTCCAATATCCTGGCGGATGGCCTGTCCCAGTTCATTCCCCTGTCCACGGAATGGACGATTGACGCCAACTTATTTGGTTGGCTGTGCCAGACGTTCGGGCCATCTGGAAGTGGATCTCTTCACATCAGCATGGTCGAGGCGTCTCTTGGTATATGTGGCGCCCTTCCCCGACTGCGAAGCCTTTGGGGTCGACACCTTCAGGCAGGACTGGGTGAGGTGGGATTACCTGTACCTCTTTATTCCAGTTCAGCTGTTGCCAGGTCCTGGCTCGCTTGGAGACTTACCAGGGTGAGAGTCGTCATTCTGGCTCCTTGGTTTCAGGCGCTGCTTTCTCAGTGTCCGGACCCGAGGGTCTTCCCGTTGCTCCGCCTTTTTCAGCAGATACTGTAGACACTCAATTATCTGGGATTTGAATATCCAGAAAATGCCCTTATACGGCCAAAATCGTGACCGGATAAAGTTATCTCAATATCCGGCCAAAATGTCCATAGGAGCCAGAAAATCGGGTGTATGACCGGATAAAAAATCTGGGCCGGTTAACTTGCTGCCGATGTTGCACTATCTGGACAGTCAGCCGGACAAGCAGTGAATTGTCTGGATATGAAAGCCAGGCCGCGGGCCGTACCGTATTAATCCCGTACGGCTGTGGCTCGAGGTGCATGGTGTAGGAGGGGGTGGAGTGGGTGGGTGGGTCGTGTCGGGAGAGAGGGGAGCGTTGGGTGGGGGGACCGCCCGGGGGATAAGGGGGATGTGGATTGGCCTATTCACTACTGTAAAGGAATTACCATTAATTTTAGAACAATTCATCATACCCAAAAACAAAAGAAATACTAGTAATTATGTAATAGAAAATACTATACAAGTTTCCTAAAAACAATTTGCACAGGCTGAAGTTTCCTTAAAAAATATTGTGATTTTTTTTTCCTCCTGGCGGCCTACATAACATGCCTCCTCCCTGCCCCAACTGGAGCCGTCCAAGTCTGGTCAAGCCATGTGCTCTCATCCCTCATGTTATACCACAGTGCCGCGCCATTAGTGAAATATTTTTTTAAATAACTTTGAACATTTTTGGTCAAGACTATGTCTGGTAGCAGCATCAATCGTTCTGGAGGTGTTAAGCGGAAGAAGGTTGTCCTAACAATTAAGGATAAGTTACATGTTATACAACTTTTTGAAAATGGCCGGTTGACTATAAGTGTTGCCAAGGAATTTAATATAGGCACTAGTACAGTACTGTTTCTGATATAAGGAAACAAAAAGAGAAATATATGAAATACATTTCATCTAATGAGAGTTAAGGTGCAAGCATTAGCAGAGGATGTGGTAGAAAAACTTTGAAAACTTCGACACATGTACAGTTGGATGAGACTGTGTACAAATGGTTTGCTCAGCACCGCACAGCTGGCGTGACAATTTGTGGCCCAGAAATACAAAATGCTGTAAGCAGGTTTGCAGCAAGCCCTGGAATAAAGGATTTTCAAGCCAGTGAAGGGTTGTAAGGTTCAAAGGGAGGCACAATATTGTGAAGAGGAAAATTGTTGGTGAAAAATTTAGTGCAAATGAAAGCGGTGTAGAACTATTTAAACTTAAATTAAGAACATACATTTTGTCAAATAATATATATTCTTATAAATTTATAATGCTGATGAAACTGGGCTGTATTGGAGGAGTTTACCAGAAAATACTCTAGCTATGAAGAGTGAGGGTTGTGTGCCAGGCCGTAAGGTTAACAAGGACAGGCTGTCGGCCATGATGTGTGCGAATCCCGACAGCACAGACAGAATCATGTGTGCAGTTGTTGGCAAATCTAAGAAACCAAGAGCCTTGCAACATTGCATGGACAGACTGCCAGTGAAATATTATAACTCACAGAATGCATGGTTTACACAGGAGATCTTTCTTTCCTAGTTTCATGATGTGTTCTGCAGGGAAGTTCGTAACTATCAAGTTAAGAAACTCAAAGTAAGACCAAGTGAAGTTCGGGGTTTGCTGCTACTTCATAATGCGACTGCCCATCCCAGAATTGACACGTTAACCTCACATGATGGCAAGATAGCGTGTATGGCACTTCCTCCTAATACAACCTCGCTCATCCAGCCTATGGATTAGGGAGTTATCTGTGCCACAAAGAAGTTGTACACCAAAAAGATGCTCCATGAAGTTTTGGTGGTTTTGCCTCTTCCGGAAGATGTTGAACTCGGTTTGCATAACAGGGCTAAAAAAAAACCTTGAGAATTTGAAGAACTATACAATCAAGGAAGCCATCTATAACTGGGCCAAGGTGTGGAGTGAAGTAAAGGAATCAACTTTGAAGAATTCCTGGAAAAAACTCCTTATGTCTACAGTCAGAAATGAGGAGGATGAAGAAATGGTGGATTTTGAAGAATTTACAGATGAAATCCACGGAATGTTCAGAAATGCCGGCAAAAACTTAGAAAGACAGGATGTGGTTGATTGGCTCAAAAAAGATGCCAATGACCCAGGATATGGTGTGATGAATGAAGATGAGATCCTCCAGTCTGTTACTGGTAAGGTCGAAGAAGATGAGGAGGATGAAGAAGGCAGTGAAGAACCAACACCAATGACCACAAAATACAGTGTACTCATGACCTATGTTGACGGATTAATAAATTTTTCATCCAATTGTGCTCATCCAGAAGTTGGAAACATGTATCAGTACTTGAGGCGAACCAAAGAGCTGATTGTACAACTGGCCAATGAGCACAGAAGGCAAGCTACACTTGATTCTTATATGGTACGAAAATCAAGCCAAGTGCCTTCAACCAGTGAGGCGTCACAGGCAAGCCAAGTGCCTTCAACCAGTGAGGCGTCACAGGTAACCCAAGTGCCTTAAACTAGTGAGGCTTCAGCAGCTGGCACTCAAAACTAACTTTGCTTAATGAACTGTACAGTAATTTTAAGTGTTAATTTTAGTGTTGTGTTAGTATTGGTTATGTAAGTTGTCAAGAATTCTCAACTTCAAGATGTGTAGCATCAGTCAAGAAGACGAACAACAACAACAAGAAGGTAAGTTAAGGTTTTTAGTTGAATATTTAGTAATTATATGTGGCAAGGCAATTCAAGTTATGTTGTTTGTAGTATAAAAATAGTTGGAAATGGTTACTTTTGGACTCGGAGGTGAAAAAGTACCATTATCTGGAACACATGATTATCCGGCTGGGGGTCCTTTCCATATAGTCCGGATAATCAAGTGGAGACAGTAGATCCAGCCCGGTACGAGGCTGGTTCATTCTTGTCCTCGAGTCTCCGCCTCTGGAGTTTCTGACTTGAGTTTATCGTTACTTGCATGGGGCGCAGGTTGCTTTGTTGATGGTCTCCCACCTGCGTGCTTCGTCTCAGCAGCAGTATGAAGTTGCCTGGTGGTCCTTTTGGTTTTTCCTATCACTACGTAGGTGTATTTCGGTCTCTGATAGGGCTGTTTTGTCTTTCTTTTCGTGGTTGTTCCAGGACCGTCATCTTATGCTGAATACTGTCGCCTCGTATCGTGCGGCACTGCCGGAGTCGCTCCAGCTTGTGTTTGGTGTTGATGTTACTTCTGCCCCGTTCTGCAAGCTGTCTCGTGCGTTGTTTCACCTCCGGCCTGCTCGTGCACCTCCTGAGCCGTCCTGGTTCTTAGGACCAGATACTCTCTTTTCTCTCTCTCTTCTCCTCGGTTTGTGGTGGCCACTTCAGTTCAGGATTGTTTTTCTGGCTCTTTTTCTGTTGGCAGGGGCTTCTAGGGGTCAGGTCGGGGAGCTTCATGTTCTCCTCCAGCGCAGAGGTTTCTGCTCCTTCGGTCCTGGTGGTAGGTTTGTTCGGTTGCAGCCATCTCCTTTTCTGGCGAAGAATGAGATGGCTGCTTTCCGGAGGTGTCCTTTGGTTATTGATGCTTGGTTGGTCAGGCCGAGAGCGATTCATGTGTGGTGTCCGGTTGCGGCTCTCCACCGTTATTTGCGCGCCACAGCTTCGGTGGCCGGGTATGTGCTCTGGTTTGACCTGGTTTCCTCTCCATCCCGGTTCCTGGGCTCGGGTCTCTCAGGTTGTCCGCAGGGTTATTAAGTCTAGTCAGCCTTGTGGTCTTTCCCCGTGCCCACGATGTTTGTAAGTTTGCTGCTTTGGCTGCCGTCTTTGGTAACATGTCTTGGGTTGGCATTCAGGCACGGGGTTCTTGAAGGGGTTAAACAGGATCCTGGCCGCTTGCTACCTTGTCCATGTCCCTGGACCTGGTAAGGCCTGCATTGCATTGGGTCGGCGGTTGCAGCCAGTTGTCTCGACTTTGTGTTGAGGAGTGAGGGCTGACCACCTACCAGATAAATCCCTGTTTTTCCTTGTCTTTGGGTAATTAACTCCAGGGAGCCGATGGGGCTCTCCCCAGAAAACCAGCGTTGAATGTAATGAAATCCCATTTTCTGAGTGAGTCCTGGAGGCTCCCCGGCATCCCTCCCTCCGGTCGGCGGTGTTTTTCGCATGTTTTAACATCCAGCCTAAGAACTGGTGATTGGATCGCCGGTGTGAAGGTCTCGGGCTCCCGCTTTCCCCTCCCGGGGAAGGGTGGGGGGTTGCGCAGACAGCGGTGCAGAAATGTGATGACGTCATGCTTGTGTACTAATTTTTGTTTGGGGAGTTCTGTCTACTCGTTCGGCTTTCGGTAGCAATAGTTTCACCAGAGTAGGCGTTTGTTTTGGGACGCCTACCTTCCTGGGTGTCAGACCCGGTTGATGGCAGACAGAATGCTCCCAACCACATGGGAGTTTTTACAGGCCTTTGCTCCTTGCACCTCTCTGAGGGGGCCAGGTTCTGGCTTGTGGTCCCCAGTAGACAAGAACTGCATGCACATTGACTGATGCCAGAAAGTTATACATATCCATTCAACCTGGATAGCTCTGGGGAGCCTCCAGGATTCACCCAGAAAATGGTGTTTCATTACATTCAATACTGGTTTTTTAGACTGCATGTTTTGGAAGCAGGTAGCTATGGCTTGTTTTGTCTCGCTGACTTTCTGGGTGGTTTCCTTGGTGATGGCATAAATAAATGACTTAATATATAAATGCCATAGCTCCCTTCACTGTAAGGAGACTAAATTCTGGTGCTGTGTCCACAGTAGGTCAGAGAACTCTGTGACTAATGACACCTAGTAGATGGCACCCACATCTGAGATGGTAGCTTCAGGAAACCACCAGAGCTCACCCAGAAATTGGTGTTTCATTACATTCAGAGTTTGTTTTATAATACAGTTCAGTATAGTAGTTCTGTCCCATATTGCACAATATTTTGTAACTAATCAGTTTATGGTTTATTTATAGATCACAATATTTCAGGAGCCAACACCAACTATCCAAATGGTCTCACAGGCACAACACCTCTCCATGAAGCAGTTGAAGGAACCCGTGATGCTCTGTTTGCCGATTTTGGAGTTGTATTTCTTCTTCTTCGTATTCATGGTGCACGGTTGGATGTAGAAACTGTAACAGCAGGGGACACACCTTTGTACCGTGCATTATTACTGGAAAAAAACAAAGCAGCTGCTCTTCTAATAAGACAGGGGTGAGGTTCTGTGATTACTGTGACTATTATGATTGTTGTATTTTAATTCTATTAATCTGCCATTGTTCATTATCTATTTTGTATGGTTTAGTAAAGGAACAAAGTTTCATAAGCAAGAATTAACATTCAAAAATGTTAAAATATAAGCACTGGACTTGAAATATATGTATTTCAGGTACAGGCATGGTATATGTACACTATTGTCAATTCTTAAATTTATCTCAATTACAGTACAGTATTTGCAATGTCTCTTCACTGATTTCCATATACTCTTTTGTTTCCATTCACTGCAGACTTGGAATTAAATGCAATAGTCAGAAAGTACGGTAATCTTTTCATCTGTCTTTAAAATATTTGCTTATGATAACATTGTAAGAAGTAGTGACTTTCTGATTCCACTCATGGTAGACATGTAAACAAATCTGACTTACTTTCATATTTTTATATACAAAGTTACAAAATGTCCTGATGGGAATATATAGATCTTGGATGAGAATCATCCAAGATCCAAGAAGTGGATCAGGACTTCTCTTATTGCTGAGTGCATACAAAATACTGTCACATTTATGCTATGAACCTGTCGATTTTTTTCCTTTGATTTTGTATTATTTTCTGGGGGGAGCCCCGTCGGCTCCCCGGAGCTTTACCGGCTGATATGCTAATGTCAGACTTTGGCATCAGTCATGTGTATGGAGTTCTAGGGCCTACCGGGGACCACGAGCCAGAACCTGGCCCCCTCAGAGAGGCAAGGGGAGCAATGGCCTATAGAAACCCCCGTGTGGTTGGAAGCATTCTATGTCTGCCATCGACCGGGTCAAGCATCCAGAAAGGTAAGCATTCCAAAACAAACCCCTATTCTGGTGAAAATTGCTACCTAAGCCGAACTAGTGAATAGAACTCTTCAACAGAAAACAAGGAAACTAGTATGACGTCATACGTCACCGCGCCGCTGTCTGCGCAGCTCCCCCCTCCCCGGGAGGGGGAAGGGGGAGCCCCAGACCTCCCACGCCGGCTATCCACCCATCAGTTCTTCGGCTGATGCTATAGGCAATGGTTATGTGCTCCGGCTCCAGTGGTTGTTTCAGCACTGTACCTAGAGTGTGGTGTCTGTTTTCTAGGTGGTGCGTGAGCCGGGAGTGATTCTTCAGTACTCGGGCTGCATGCGCCTAGGGTTCCCTTCCCTAGGTGCCCTGTAAGTACTGCCCTTGGGGCTTGGGGCCACCTTCCACAAGTTCCTTGGGTCCTGCCCCTGCTTGGCCGTTTACTGCTTGGTTTTCGGCCGCTCTTTTTGTGCTCGGGTGTTCTGTCTCCCTTGTTCGCCTTAGAGTAAGGGGCAGTGTTTGCACTGGTGGGGCGCGGGGTACTGTGCAGCTTGTCTTTACCAATCATAGCGGCCGGCTCTGTTCCGCTTGGGTACGCTGTCCTCTTGCGGGGTTTTCTTTTTCTTTTGTTTATATACCTGGTGGGGGGGGTCTGCCTTCGTTCTTGCCCCTTGTGTCCCTTGTGTTCTGAGTATTTCTGGTGGTACCCCCTGCTAGGTCCCCGTGAGTGTACACGTCCCGGGGGTTCAGCTCTTAGAAAGTTGTTTGGCAGGGCGGGGTGTTTGGTGGTGTTGAGACTCGGGCAGTCTCGGGGAATTCCCCTTCCGGGGTAGTGACGGGGGCATTTGGGCCTGTTCCTCCAGCCGTGTTGTATGAGTCTGCCAGTGGGCTCCCTTCCTTAGTGTTTTCACGGCTGCCCCGGTTTTCTGGTACGGCCGGGGCTTTGGGGGAACGGCTCGGCCCCGGGGCCTGTCGTGTAGGTTCCCGGGGCTGGGGAGGGGCTGACTTGGGGGGGCCTTGGCCCCGTTAGACCCCGTGGGGGTTTTTATCCCCCTCTAGGCGGGGCTTGTGGTTACGCGGAGTGGGGTCTTTCCTCCCCACTCGCTGTACGTGCTTTTGGACGTCGGCCCCTCCCCGGGCTCGGTTCCTTGGCCTTTGAGTCGGTTGGTTCCGTCCTGTGGGTGGATATTTCCTCCCCCGCTTTTTGGGACGGTGTTTTTGTCATGTTTCCCCGTTCGATGGGGTTCTGCGTGACTTCTGATCTCGGGTGCGCCTGCGCCTTCGTGTGCCTTCGGGACTAGTGTTGGCCTCTGTGTTCTCGAGGGTACGGGAAGGTTTTTCGCTACTTCCCGCATTATTGGAACGTCTGTCGGCTCCTAGTACTTGTCGCCCGGTTGGGCTACTTGTCGCCCGGTTGGGCTACTTGTCGCCCGGTTGGGCTACTTGTCGCCCGGTTGGGCTACTTGTCGCCCGTTTGGGTTTCTTTTTTTTTGGGCTCTTTGCTTCTTTGGCCAGTTTTATTGTTCCTGCTTCCTCTTTTGGCTCCTTTTCTCGTGCAATAGTCCTGGCTGGCGCCTTCCCGCAGGGAGGGTGTGCGGTTCGGCCAGCGTGTTATGCGCATGCGCCGTGGAGTTTGTTTTGGTCTGGGCGGTGGTTCAGTGCTGGGGTTTTGCGCCCTTTTTTGCTACAGTGCTTCGCCTCTCGTTCTTCTCCCTGGCTGCGGTATGTGCCCCTTCGCGCCGGGGGTGTCCTGGTTCCCAGTTGTGGGGAGGACACCGCGGTTTTCCCTGTGTCATGGGTGTGGACCGCCTCCTTCGCCTCTCCCTGTTCTCCTGCGGGTCCGGCAGGGTCCGGCTCTGGCGTCTTCACCTGGCGGTGCTCCCAAGTTCTTCTGGGCACGGTTGAGTCGTGTCAGGTTCGAGCCACCATTCGCCAGGTGAGTTTCTGCGGTCTGGCGTCTTTTGGCCGGGCGCTGGATGCGGCGGTGTTTATATACCTGTCTTTATTTAGGTATATTTTTGTACGACTGTGACCGTTCGCACACCAGTGACTGTCCCTTTATCACCCCTTCCTGTCCCCCTCATGTGCATGTCCAACCCATGCTGGAGTCATTCAGGGGACCCTCCTTTTTTAATGTTGTGAGGTGTGGGGGTTGTAGGGTTGGTTCTGTACTCACCTGGTGAGGCTCCTGGCTGTGCTTGCAGGATTTGAGCTCTGGCTCTTGGGTCCCGCCTATCTGGTAGAACTTGCGGGATAGTACCAGTGGAGTGCAGTGGCGCTATTGGCACTTTTGGGGAACACTGTATTACCATCAGTGGTCTGTGCTTGTTACACGACCTACTTGCGAGCATAAGCCTTCTTGCTGGTTCGTCCGTGGACTTCCAGGGCGCACTGGCCTGTTTTCGTATGGCTGTTCCGGCCCATCCTGGTTGTGGGGGTATGTGGGCCGGTGGACTGCTCCTAGCAGCTGCCTGGTGGGCCATCCTCTGGTCGGTCTGGCCTGACCTTGGGCCGGGCTTGAGGTGTAAAAGAGCTCCCAGTACCTCATCCAGCAGGTATCGAGCGGGGTTTCTCCGCCGTCGGTCGCCTGGTGCAGGTTTCTGGGCCTGCAGGGTTTTGTCGTGTCTCCGTTGGCCCTGTCTGGGGTCTGCCTGCTCCGTTCTCTGCCTTTGCAGAGGGGAGTTGCTATTTACATGTTGCATGTTGCAGTGGTGCCTGTTGCTGCTGCTGCACGTGTGCATTGGTACCGTGTTTCACGGTGGCGTGTCCTTGTTCCTGTGTCTGGTTGTGGAGTGGCACTTTGCTGCCGTTTTGTGCCTGGGGATTGCGTGGGGTTTTTGTCCCTGCCTGATTGTCCACCCCTGGTTGTTCTCCTGTTTTTTTTTTTTTTTTGTGCTTCTGCTCTTTCTTCCTGCCTCCTCTGCAGCAGGGATGTTCTGCGTGTGTTCTTAGGCGTTGGTCAGCCTGTGTCCTGTGATGTGCTTCTTTGTCTCGGTCTGTTGCAGTTGTTCGTGCCCCTTGGTTCGGGTCCTGTTCTGGCGGCAACCCTTCCGCCTTCTTTGGTTTTCCTAGCTTGCCCTGCCGGTTGTTGTTGTTTTTTTTTTTTTGGGGGGGGGGGTTCTTGCGATGTCTCGCGTCGGACCCGTCGTTTCTGAACTCCTGGCGGGCTTGCATGCTTCGGAGTTTTTCTGTTCGGCAGACGTTCCATCTCCTTGTGCCGCCTGGGTTTCGGTGGTCGCGCCCGAGATCTTCTCGCGGCTCCGCCTTTTTCCTGGGCTCGGGGGGGCCTTGTCGGGGCTGCTTATGTTCTGCCTCGTGGTCTCGCCTCCGGTTGGTGGTCGGGTGGCTTCGTGGTAGGTGTCCCACCTGCGTGTTTTTCTTGGCGGCAGTATGGGGTATTTTGGCGGTCCTTCCTTTTCCTGTCCCTTCTTAGGTGGTTCCTCTTGTTAGCTTGGTTTCCTCTCGGCTTGGTTTTCTAGTGGGGGTTGGGGGCCGCCGTCTTGCCACATACTGTCGCCTCTTTTCGTGCGGCGCAGGCGGAGCCGCTTCAGCTTGCTTTCGGTCTTGGTGTTGCTTCTGCACCGTTAGTCAGCTGTCTTGTGCGTCATTTCACCTCCGGCCTGTTCGTGCGCCGCTTGCACCATCCTGGTCTCTGGTCAGCGTGCTCTGTCTTCTCCTCGGTTGGTAGTGCCCCTTCGGTTCCGGTGTGTTTTTTCGGCGGCTCTTTCCTTTGGGCCTTTGCCTCTGGGGGTCGGTTCGCTGAGTTTTCTTGCTCCTTCGGTTTTAGCGTTTTGGTTGTTTGATGGCAGCAGTCTCCATCTTTTCTGGCGCGGGGTGGGGCTGCTGCATTCTGGAGGGGTCCAGGGTTTGTTGGTGCTTCGTTGGTCAGGCCGGGGGTGTGTCGTTTTTGTGTTCAGTGGCGGCCCTCCGCTGTTGTTTGCGTGCCACGGCGTTTGGGTCCGGAGCGCGTTTTGCGTTGATCCGGTTCTGTTCTTCCCGGTTCGCGGGTGATGGTGTCCCGGGTGGTCAGCCGTGTTCTTGCGGCTAAGCTGCCTGTGTTCTTCCCTCATGCCTGTGGTGTTTGTGGCTTCGCTGCTCTCGCTGCCGTCTGGGCGACGTGGCCTTGCAGTCTTTCGGGCATGGATTTTTGGTGTTCGTGCAGGGGCCTTGCTGCTCGTGGTTCTCGTGTTGTTCCCGGGATTTTCGGGGCTGTGGCGCCTTGGGTTGGCGTTTGCTGCCGGTTGTCTCGCCTCCTTGGGGGGTGCGTGGTGTCCGCCTCCCGGTTTTGTCCCTTTGACCTTCCTCTGTGGGTAGTTAGCTCCGGGGAGCCGACGGGGCTCCCCCCAGAAAACCAGCGTTGAATGTAATGAAACGCCATTTTCTGGGTGAGACCCGGAGGCTCCCCGGCAACCCTCCCTCCCTCCGGTCGGCGTTTTTCGCGTGTTTTGACATCCAGCCTCAGAACTGATGGGTGGATAGCCGACGTGGGAGGTCTGGGGCTCCCCCTTCCCCCTCCTGGGGAGGGGGGAGCTGCGCAGACAGCGGCGCGGTGACGTATGATGTCATACTAGTTTCCTTGTTTTCTGTTGAAGAGTTCTATTCACTAGTTCGGCTTAGGTAGCAATTTTCACCAGAATAGGGGTTTGTTTTGGAATGCTTACCTTTCTGGATGCTTGACCCGGTCGATGGCAGACATAGAATGCTTCCAACCACACAGGGGTTTCTATAGGCCATTGCTCCCCTTGCCTCTCTGAGGGGGCCAGGTTCTGGCTCGTGGTCCCCGGTAGGCCCTAGAACTCCATACACATGACTGATGCCAAAGTCTGACATTAGCATATCAGCCGGTAAAGCTTCGGGGAGCCTCCGGGTCTCACCCAGAAAATGGCGTTTCATTACATTCAACGCTGGTTTTTTCTCTCCATTTTCCTCCATTTCTCGTTTACAAACTTACATGATAACCAACGGGTCTCGTCCCCAAGGGGATCGGAAACCAAGTGGTGCTCTATATAGTTGAAAAAAAATTAATATGTTGTAATACTGTAATAAAATTGATAAACTTACTTAATTTTTATTTGAAGCTGATGATTATAAAGCTGTGAAGATTATGTCGTTCTCTGTGGCACTTATTTTGTATTGTTTAGTATACATACACTATGTATTTATACATTATGTACACTTATATTCAGGCATTTACTTCACATAACAACTAGGCTTATTACAAATTTGCATGTGAATAATGCACTGCACTTTAACAGAATTTTTTTTTTTTTTGACCAACAGCTGTAACGCACTTGTATAATTGAAATGTATTTCTGTATTTACACTGTGTACAGTATATGTTTTGTCAAGGCTTAATTATTCATTAACACTTACAATACTGTACTCTATCAACATTTTTTACACTAAATTATATGCATTTCAATCATATTTTGTATCATCGTTAGCGGATGCTGCACGACTTGTCGAAGGGAATTCAGCATCAGCGGGTGCAGCATGGCTTGTAGAGCATTTGTTGCTGGCAGATGCTGCATGACTTATTGATGGGAATTCAGCATCAGCAGGTGCAGCATGACTTGTAGGGCATTCGTTGCCGGTAAATGCTACATGACTTGTTGATGGGTATTCCGCATCAGCAGGTGCTGCATGGCTTGTAGAGCATTCGTTGCTGGTAAATGCTGCATGACTTGTTGATGGGTATTCCGCATCAGCAGGTGCTGCATGGCTTGTAGAGCATTCGTTGCCGGTAAATGCTGCATGACTTGTTGATGAGTATTCCGCATCAGCTGGTGCTGCATGGCTTGTAGAGCATTTGTTGCTGGCTGATGCTGCATTACTTGTTGAATTCCCAGTGGGTGCAGCATGGATTGTAGATGACGATTTTTCACGGACCGTTGAATCATGAATTTATCCATTTTTGTCTGGATCTGATTATCTCTGGCTAACGTTCTGAGACAGTAATATCCTTCAAAACTGATGCTAGCCGCACGAATTCATAGTAAACAATGTGGACACACGGCCCAACACAGTACATTCATGTCCGTGGGGAAAAAATAACTAGTGCCTATATTACAAAAGGTATTTAACCCTTAAACTGCGCAACACGTCATATGAAGTGTTGGAGTACTATGCAAGATTTAAACGGCCTGCGGATACACGGGGTTCACCTCACCTTCATCAGGGCTCTTGTAAACAGAAGCCATTAAAAAAAAAATCATGGGCCACATTCCCAGGTGTGAAGTCCTCAGTACTGAGTGAGCAACCAAAGCTGGCGCTCGTAGCATGAGCTCACAGCACTGCTGTTCAGCTTGTGACCACAGCATCGCCTAAAAATGCCATAATATATATATATATATATATATATATATATATATATATATATATATATATATATATATATATATATATATATATATATATATATATATATTAATAGGGTATTAATTTCATCAACATTGTTGATGAAATTAATACCCTATTAATACCACATTTTGTTCTGTCTTGTGTTAATGCCACATCACCCCTTCCACCTCACTCAAATGTAGATATAAAATCGGAGATACGTAAGTTCTATTCAGTTGTGTATTTGTGAACTAAAGTCTTTGAAAATGTAATAAGTTTTACGAAACGCGCCCGTGTCGCGTCAGACTAGAAATAAAAATGAATTTTGGAGAATTGAATTTTGATTTACCTCCAACAGTGAAGCGTAATGTACGAAAGATTGAGAAAATTCGTGTTAGAATTATTAATCTTACTTTATCGGTCATATTTAATAATATATGTCTACAGGAAAGACTGCTACCAAAATATACTAATATATATATATATATATACATGCTATTATTTAGCGGTGATAGTATTACAGAAGACCCGTGACTGTGATAAAAATAACCAAGATTCTGATAATAGCAGGATTGTTGTAATAATTAGCACTGTAGTGGGAGGAGTAATCTTGGTGGGGAGGGAGGTACCGTTGTCTGCTGATTCTGTGTGACCACTTTTTATTGTTTTGACTCACTATACCAGCTTAGTTATTCGCTATGGTGAACCAAACATGCAGATACTTATATATAACGTCTGTATAAGTGAATAAAAGCAAAAACAGTATGGTGGGAGGAGAAGGATGGCTGGTCAGGGGAGGGAGGGAGGGAGTGACAGCCAGTGGTGGGCTGCCACTGCCACTGCTACTCAGCATACCAAATTAGTGGTTCATTATGGTGAATACAAATGTAGATACTTATATATAATGTGTATATATAGTGTAATAACAGCAAAAGGAGTGTGGGGAGAAGCCATCTTGGTGAGGGGAGGTGGCAACATCTGCATGATTTATCATGCTGGGTAGGGGTGGCCACTATGCTCTTTGGACACTATGCCAGCTTAGATGAACAGTTATGGTGAACAAAACATGTAGATACTTATATATAACGTCTGTATATAGTGGATAAAAGCAAGAAGAGTATGGTGGAAGGAGGATGTGGGAGAGGGAGGAGTCATTGAGGGAGTGGCAGTGAGAGGCTAACTGCATCATGTTTTGTGTTCGGTTGCGGCTCTTTGCCGTTATTTGTGCGCCACGGCTTCTGTGTCCGGGGACGCGCTTCAGGTTGATCCAGTTTCCCTTCTTCCCAGTTCGCAGGTGCGGGTCTCCCAGGTTGTCCGCAGAATTATTAAGGCTAGCCAGCCTGCGGTCTATCCCCGTGCCCGTGACGTTCATAAGTTCGCTGCTCTTGCTGCCGTCTTTGGCAACATGTCCTGGGCTGACAATCGGGCACAGGGCTTTTGGTGGTCGAACAGGGTCCTGGCTGCTTGTTACCTGGTGAACGTTCCTGGGCCTCATCGGGCCTGTGTTGCTTTGGGTCGGCAGCTGCAGCCAGTTTTCTCGACTTCGAGTTGAGGAGTGAGCAGCGACCGCCTCCCGGGTAAGTCCCTATGTTTTCCTCTGTGGGTACTTAGCTCTGGGAAGCCAAAGGAGCTCTCCTCAGAAAACCAGCGTTGAATGTAATGAAACGCCATTTTCTGAGTGAGACCCGAAGGCTCCCCAGTATCCCTCCCTCCCTCTGGTCGGCGTTTTTTTCGTGTTTTGACATCCAGCTTCAGAACTGAAGGGTGGATAGCCGGCGCGAGGGATCTGGGGCCCCCCCTTTCCCCTCCTGGGGGAAGGGGAAGCTGTGCAGACAGCAACGCGGCGGCGTGTGACATCATGCTCGTTTGCTCGTTTCTTTTAGGGGAGTTCTATCCAGTTGTTCAGCTTTTTGGTAGCAATATTTTCACCAGAATAGGGGTTTGTTTTGGGATGCTTACCTTTTTGGGTGCCTGACCCGGTCGATGGCAGACATAGAATGCTTCCAACCACACCGGATTTTCTATAGGCCATTGCTTCCCATTTCTCTCTGAGGGGGCCAAGTTCTGGCTTGTGGTCCCCGATAAGCCCACAGAACTCCATACACATGACTGATGTCAAAGTCTGACATTAGCCTATCAGCCTAGCAAGCTCCGGGGAGCCTCTGGGTCTCGCCCAGAAAATGGCGTTTCCTTACATTCAACGCTGGTTTTTTCATGGGTCAAGGTAACTATTACATCCATATTTGCATCATACATGCAAAACCCAAAAAATAATTGTTAAAATCTTTATATGATGATAACTGCATTACCCAGTGAATCGACTATTGATGATAACTGCTGTCTAAGGGTTAAAGTATATACATGTATGTGCAAAGGGTTAAACCCTAAGAAAATCAATCCAAAAACATTATCACTAGTGAGAGTTGACAATGTCCCTTTAACTGAGTTCCTTAAACTCAAATTTTATGCTTTTCTCAGGTGTAATGTGAATCATCGAACTCCAGCTGGTACTCTAGACTATCTTCATATGACTGCTCTTCGTAGTAATGCCCCCTTGGCCACATTGTTGGTATTAGCAGGTTTTAAGCTGTGGCATGCAGAGTGGTTGGTTGGCATCTTCACTCCAGGCACGCTTCTCTCAAGACTTGCTGCTGTTAGGTGATGTATTATTAATATTTACAACTATTATGGGCTGCATTGTTCAACACAAACACTTGATGTTAATTACAAAGCATTCAAGTTTAATTGCATAGTTGTTAATTACAAAGCATTCAAGATTAATTGCAATGTTGTCAATTACAAAGCATTCAAGTTTTATTGCATTGTTGTTAATTACAAAGCATTCAAGTTTAATTGCATTGTTATTAATTACAAAGCATTCAAGTTTAATTGCATTAGCCTCTTAAAGCTATCCCTAAGATTGCTCCTAACTACTGTCTCATTAGTTGAAGAAGTTTTGTTTCACCTACTGGGGACCGGAGCCAGAACCTGAACATAACTGCTTCACAGAAGCACATGGAGTGAGTGTCATTCCATCACCCCCATCAAGAAATCACCCAGAAGGGTAGTGAAGCAGTACAGACAACTGAAAGTTCACAGAAAAAAAGTCTTGAAACAAAACAACAATCCAAACAATTCAAAACAATAATCGAAACACTCAAACTAGACGCAGGTTCGAATCCTCGTCATGGCCCTTGTGGATTTGTTCATTAAAAGTAGCTCAAAACCATAAATACCAGTAATGATCACTAGCCGGCCTGGAGCACCAGCTCATCTCTACCAACAGTCCCAGGTCAGTTCTGTTGCTGATGCAATGCAATTCACTGCTGAATTGTTTCAGAGTCTGTTCCTTCAGGTGCACAGTACGGTGTGTAAGTTTGCAACTGTGTAGCATGCCCTGAAGAGGATTCAGCTTCCTCCAGGTTCTGTGTTCTGGCTTTACTCTACTCCCTGGCAGTTCGTTGTCTGAACCGTGGTGGTCACTTCGGTTTTCTGTGGGGAGCCCCATCTGCTCCCTGAAGCTATCCAAACTGACATGTGCCATATTAGTTTGGTGTCATCAGTCACGGGCGTTCTGTATGCCTACCGGAGACCATAGCTAGAACCTGGCCAACTCAGAGAGGCACAGGGAGCAATGGCCATTATGAGCACTCTACATTTAGAGTATGTCATGTCTGCCATCGACCGGGTAGGGCACCCAGAAAGATAGGCAAAACAATACAAACCCCCAGCTGGTAAAAATTGCAATATACATCCGAACAGAGCCAAAGAACTCCTCCCATAAGAAAACAAACAAACAAACAAGCAAATCGTCATCCATCTAGCGCACCTGGTCATTAGTTCACTAACCCCCCTCCCACAAAAGGGGGGAAGGAGGAGCCCGCGCAGGTGGCTCACGACACCAGTTCTTGACTGGTGTGCCTGGTGATCAAATGTCGCCTCTGGCCTTGCTTTCCTTTCTGGATGTTTCCTTTGTGGCTGTGCCAGCTGTGTGTGGTGGTGTGTTGGCCAGGTGTTTTCAGTACTCTGGGCTGCATGCGCCTAGGTTTTTTTTTTTTCTGGGCTCACCCAGAAAATGGCGTTTCATTACATTCAACGCTGTTTTTTTAGCCAAGGGGTGCTTTTATCAGGGGTAATTAAAAAAAAAAAAAAGAGATATTAACCACTGCACTGCGCAACGCGCCTTGAGGCTCTCGACGGATGGTGTGCGAAGTGCCTCAGGAATCTTATAGGTATAGCGTATTGTTCAAAACTCCCAAGGCTACACAGGGCTCATGCCAGTTTCCTCAGGGCTCTCCTAAACAGATGCCATTTAAAAAAAAAATTGTGAGCAACATTCCCGGGTGTGAAAATCTCGGTACTGAATAAGCAACCAAGGTTGGCACACGCAGCATGAGCTAACAGTATTGCTGTTCAGCTTTTGACTGCAGCATCGCCTAACATTTTCCAAATATATATGTATCTGGTATTATTTAGCCATGATATTATTACAGAAGAGCCTGACTGTGATAAAGAATGTGTACCATGTTCAGATATCAGTGAATAAATGCTGTTCAAGATGTTCACAGCATTAGCCACAGCACGTTATTTTGTCCATCTAAAATTCTTCAAACGATTTCTCATGTTCCTTTACAAAGCAAACATGTGAAAAATTATTCATTTACATGATATGGTGACCAGGATTCTGATAATAGCAGGATTATAATAATAATAATAATAATAATTTATTTAGGAAAAGTACATACATAGTTGCAGGGTTACAGTACAAACATTCTGTTTGATTTAAAGATAGAGGTAGTACATACAATACCTAAAGCCACTAGTACGCATAGTGTTTCGGGCAAGGAGAGAATTAGGTGGGGAGAATTAGTGATGTGAATTAGTGGTGGGAGGAGTACTGTTGGTGAGGGAGAGAGGGAGGGAGAGGTGGCGTCGGCTGCTGGCTGGTGTGTGGCAACGTGTTATTGTCTGGAACCACCATACCAGCTTAGTGGTTCACTATGGTGAACACAAATGTAGATACTTATATTTAACGTGTGTATAGAGTGCAATAACAGCAAAATGCTTATGTTGGGAGGAGCCATTTAGGTGAGGGAGTGAGTGAGGCTGTCGTTGCTGTGTAACATGTCATGCAGTGGCCACTATGCTGTTTGGACACCATATCAGCTTAGTTGTTCAGTTATGGCGAATAAAACATGTAGATAATTATATATAATGTGTGTATATAGTGTAATAACACCACAAACAGTATTGTGGGAGGAGTAATTTTGGCGAGTTAGGTGTTGAAGGAAGAGCTGGCTGGGTGTGGCAGCCCACTCTTGTTTTTAGGCTCGCCATACCAACTTAGTGGTTCATTATGGTGAACACATATGTAGATAGGTATATACAATGTGTGTATATAGTGTAATAACAGAAAAAACACTGTTTGATTGATCGTAGAATATAATATACATGTCACATACATGAGCCCCATAATTTTGAGCATAGTGATGTTCCACACATTGACCTATACAAATTCCACAAATTACCCACTTTTGAATAATATTACAGCATAAAACCAGAAAAGAAACAAATGAGAAACATCAAAATAATTGTGAAACATTATACAGTGGTACCTCGGAATGCGAGTGTCCCTGTATGCGAGTTTTTCGGAAGATGAGCAGGATTTACTCCAAAAATATGTCTCGGAAGGCGAGGGTTACCTCGGGACGCGAGTTTGTTGATACGTGTACAGGCCGACTGGCGCGTGGTGGCATGGCGATCGCGCCTCAGTTTACCAGTGTCTCGTGTCCAGTGACTATCCCACCTGAATTCTTCACAAGGATTTACAGTTTTTTATCGTTTTTTTTGGCCATTTGAGCATAAAAGTTGTCATTATATATCTTGCCATGGGTCTCAAGAAAGCCATTGGTAAGGTTCAACCTAAGAAAATAGCTGTGAGTGGAGGCAGTAGAGGATGTCCCTTCTTGATTAAGAAAATGTGTGAAGTATGGGAAGAACTGCAAAGTTTTGTTGAAAAAACTCACCCAGATAAAGTTGTAGCAGGCCGTTGCATTGACCTTTTAAATGATAATGTGATGTCTTACTACAGACAAGTGTTAAAATGTAGGGAAAAACAAGTGTCATTAGATAAATTCTTAGTAAAACAAGCAAGTCCTAGTGGTATGCAGGCAAAATGTGCCAGTGTGTGCATACCAGTGAAGTCCTCACTGCCTGATGTTATAATGGAAGGGGACTCTCCTTCCAAACAGTAACTCCTCTCTTCCTCCCACCTCCTCACCATCTTCCATACGCCTACAGCATTCAACAGCAAGGTAAGTAATAACTTGAACATAGTTTTGTAGGTTTATTTAGATGAATTAGGTATACAAATTTAGTTTGATGTGGGGTTTTTGGGGTAGTCAGGAACGGATTAATTCATTTCCCTTTATTTCTTATGGGGAAATTAGCTTCGGAATGCGAGTTTTCGGAATACGAGGCGTCTCCAGGAACCAATTAAACTCTTAAACTGAGGTATGCCTGTACTGTATTTGCAGTAACTGCCGCCCCAGGGGGTGGTGGGGCTTAGTGACCTTGAGCGCTCCATCGCTCAGTAATCATAATATGCTCAACTTCCCAGCTCCATCTCGGCTAAAGTATGTCACATACAATATTTTTGTTTAGTTTCCCGTGATCAGAGACTGCATTTTAACAATATAAGCAGAGAAATAATTGTTTGGAAAGAAATTATTTTTGGCGCACCATGGGCGTGTCGTATTTTTAATGCAGAGCAGTGCAGTGGTTAAGAATGAACAACTAATGAAACTTTCATTCACGTGGTGCGTCTTTTCTGCCGGCAAATGTGGTAGATAGGGCTTTCTCTGGGTTCATTTCCGTGTATCCTAGGGTTCCTGGGATTCATCTTTTCTGAGGGTTTCTTCCTTTTGGATTCCCTTGGTGGGTTTGGGAGGCCCTTGGCAAGTACCTCTGGTGAGACCCAATTTGGCCTTTGTGAGCCTGGTTGGGAGCCCACACCAACCAGCCATCAAAGTAGGCTGCCACCCAGGAAGGCACCAGAACTCGAAACGCCCCTTATCCCAGGAAGAGGAACCAAACTTAAACAAAACCGGAACCAACACAACTGATGGGACCTAGTAGTATAGCACACTATCAGAGATATTAGCCTCAGGAAGCCACAGGGGCTCACCCAGAAATTGGTGTTTCTGGGTGAGCCCTAGTGTTGAAATAACATTCAGCAATGGATTTTTCATATATCCTATTGTAACATTGTATTAATTTGAATACAGTATTTTAAAATATACTATTGTAATATTGGTGGTATTGTATGTATTAATTTGAATATTTTAACTCTTTAGGTCACAACCCCTCACACTTGCTGATTTGTGCAGAATTCATATACGCTGTCGACTTGGGGAGAGAGTCCAAGTTACCCTTCAAGCCTCTTCTCTTCCCCCACGAGTAGTAAGATTTCTAATGTTGGAAGATGTGGCAGAAGTGGATCTCTGACAACCACTACAAGTGTTATAGCCATAAACATTTTATAGTATGTATAAGTATCTGAAAATATAGAGGGTGAAATATATATTATGGTTGAGTGTAAAATTTAGTTAGCTTGTTTTTTTCTATCTTTCCCAAATTTGTTTCCTTGTGTGAGTAAATAAATTGTAATTGCAGTGTATATATTATCTGACCACTTACTGGAAATTTTGGTTATACCTCATGGTTTGTGCTGACTAATCTTTCCTCTAATGTAATATTAGTTAGATCTTGGTAGATTGATATCTGGATTCAATTAACCTCATTTAGTGAACCTATGGATTTACTTACCCGATTCCACAAACAAGAGTTTGGCAAAATGAACTAGGGATGTACTTATTTGCTTAGGATGTTGGGCTACAGTTCACAGACTGGTGGGAACGTTGCACATCATATGATTGGTTGAAATTAAAATTTCACTTAGTAAAATTAGCCCATAGAGCATATAAAATATAAGGTCATGAATGATACTTTCTTATTATCACTCCAATCATATTTTTAATGATTTTCAAAAATGGATGCAACATTACAAGAAACTGTTAGAGCTTTTGGAAATTTATTGAGGTTACAGTATTTAAAACCAAATTCTATGGTTCATTTTAATTTCCAGTTGCAATGGTTCTATTCCTTTGCTGAAATATAAACCTTTTTCCTTTGAAAATGAGGTTTAAAGGCTGGGTGTGGGAAATATTATGAATATGATGAAATATTTTTACAAGCAGGTTCTTGTGGTATTTTACCATGTGGTAGGTTGAAATTAAAATTTCATTCAGTGAAATTAGCAATAAAGCATGGGAAATGTTAGGGTATGAACCATGACACTTAATATTGCTCCAATCACAATTTTAATCATTTTCGTAGATGGAAGCAACTTTAGAAGAAAAGAAAAATACATTGCTTCAGCTGTTTTTGCCATTAAAAAGAAAATTCTATTTCACAAATTCCTCCATAAAACATCTCCAGCTGCAATGCATCCCTCACTCCAATGAATACATGTTAGTTCCATATAGTTTGCTAATTAAGATTGCTCTGTATTGCAGATTATTTGCTGGAAAGACTGAATCAGAAGTAAAAGCCCAGAAGCTTGTGTATGCTTTCTAATTTTTAACCTCTGTACTGCACATTAGTTTAACCCTTAAACTGCTCAGCATAAGGGGGCAGGGAAGCGAAAGATATTTGAATTATGTAAAAATTACTTAAAAATGTTAAACAAATCTCCAACTTATTGGCTTCAGCATTGTGAAACTTTCATCAAAATATTTTCAGAAATTGATTTTAGACGAATACTGTATTTAAAAAAAATGGGAAACAGATTCATGGAAAATGAAAAGGAAATGTGTGAAACATTAAATGAAAAGTTCCAAAGTGTGTTTGTACAAAATGAAATCTTCAGAGAACCAGACACAATAAGAATTCCAGAGAACAACATAGAGCGGATAGAGGTGTCTAGAGATGAATTGGAAAATATGCTAAAGGAGCTCAGTAAGAACAAAGCAGCTGGCCCAGATGGAGTTTCACCATGGGTTCTGAGAGAATGTGCATCTGAGCTCAGCATTCCACTTCACCTGATCTTTCAGGCATCCCTGTGTACAGGAATCATAGCAGACGTGTGGAAACAGGCTAACATAGTTCCAATCTACAAAAGTGGCAGCAGGGAAGACCCCCTCAATTATAGACCTGTATCATTGACAAGTGTAATAGTGAAAGTACAGTGGTACCTCGCATAACGATTGCCCCAAAAGACGAATATTTTGGGTAACGAACGGCCCGATCGGCGTCAAATCGTCCCGTATGACGAACGCTGGTTTGAGTAACGTCAACACCACATGTCAACACCACATGGTGGGGTCGCGCTGCTTCTTGCACATTCTTAGACGCCTCCGACGATGCACATAAATTATGTTGTTCTTGTTTAAAGATGCTAATGATGCTGGGATATAAAAGGGTGACTGCTGAGATGTTGCAAAGCATTGACGTTTTTGTAGGAAAAAAAAATTGAAATATCTGATATACAACAAATGTCAAAAAAGTTCGTTCGGTGTTCGGCAGGTAGGCTGCTCCATTATAACAATCTTTCTTTGTTTCAAATGTGTTCCATTTGTTTTTTATTTGTCATTTACGTCTCAATAATGGAGAAGCCTACCTTACATACACTGAATAAACCATTATGACATTTTCCTTTCTTCAAATGTGTTCAATATTTATTTTTCATTTGTCTTATAGCAAAAGGTTCGTTCGGTGGTCGGCAGGTAGGCTGCTCCATGTTTCTTACATACAAAAAACGTAAATAATAAAAAAAATGAAGAATTTTGAAAACCAGTACAAATGTCAAAAAGGTTCGTTCGGTGGTCTACAGGTCGACTGCTCCATGTTTCTTAAAAAAAAAAAAAAAAAAAAAAAAAATAAAAGAACTGTTGAAACAATTTGGAAAATGGACAAATGTCATAAAGGTTCGTTCAGTGTTTGTCGGGTAGGCTGCTCCATTATTGAGACGTAAGTGATAAATACAAAACAAATGGAACACATTTGAAACAAAGAAAGATTGTCATAATGGAGCAGCCTACCCAACAAACACTGAACGAACCTTTTGCTATAACGAATATGAAAGACAAGGGCTGCTGGCTGGGTTAGTAGTGCGTGAGCAACCATTTGTAGCACACGTGCCTCTGGCTCTCAAACACCTGTCCCACACGGTGTTGAAAGACTGTGCTCAGTCGGTGCAATTCAGACCCTTTTGTTTGAAGAACATAAGGGTCATAACATTGGTGAAGCTAGGCGCAATAAGGGCTTAACACAACGGTCGGATGCCAGTGATACAGCACCTATGAGGATGATACAGCAAGCGTATCCAGGTGTAGCTCTGAGCCCCACCCTTGCCATCTCTAATGTATATAGATGATACATAGATGAATCGTTTTCTGCGTTCAGTGATGATGCATCTGATACAAGTAGCATAGATGAACAGTGTTAGCGGCTTCCATGGTGGAGGTGTTCATTGATATTTTTAGGAATACCTAAATCTTTTCCTGACTGATGGACACTCTTTGAGGCTAGCTGAATCTCTTCCTGACTGATGGACACTCTTTGAGGCTAGCTGAATCTCTTCCTGTGTGGGACCTTATAAAGCGATCTTTTCAAGACTACCTTACAAATTGAGCTTTTCCTATAATCGTTTCAATACTACTTTATGCTTTACAAGCTTGGCTACATACCACCTACAAGTACTAAAGCCAAGGGTGCACGCGAGTGCATTATTTGCAAGCACACAGAACGATGAAACAGGAAACAAAAATCTATCTGTAGCTGGTGCAAGGAGAGCAAAGTCGCGCTGTGTACCATGGACTACTTCGTTGACTATTATGCACCTCCAAAGTACTGAGTGTGTAATACAGTGTGTTACTGTGTAAATAGTATGTGAAACTGTACATATTGTAATATTAGTGAATTTTTACCACGTAATATTGTGACAATAAACATTTATTGTGGACACATTACTGACACATGTATCACAGTTTCATGGAAAATTATGAACATTCTACTGTATACATATTGTAAAGGTCACAAATATGCATCATATACGATAAAAGAAACAAATAAAACCGCATTGGAAATGCATAGGAAAAATATTTGAAAATATATTTGTGGCAACACGCGGTGCTTGAATGGCCTGCGCGACCGTGTCTGGGAGCTTCACACACGGGCGACCAGCCCCTGATGACGTCACAGCGCACCTTGTCCACGCCCTCACAGCCAAAGTAAGTGGAATTTGGTAATTATCTTTACATAGACATGTTCAGGGACGGTAATTTATCATTTTACAAAGAAAAATTATATTTTGGGGAACATTTGATGTCATGCACACTAGGGAAATTTCACAATAAACACAGTGCATCACACTGGTTACATGGGAGACACTCGTTTTGTATGACGTCCGTTTCGCATGACGAACATGGAACGGATTCAATTCGTTATGCGAGGTACCACTGTATTTGGAAAAACTAATCAAAACTAAATGGGTAGAACACCTGGAGAGAAATGATATAATATCAGACAGACAATATGGTTTTCGATCTGGAAGATCCTGTGTATCGAATTTACTCAGTTTCTATGATCGAGCCACAGAGATATTACAGGAAAGAGATAGTTGGGTTGACTGCATTTATCTGGACCTAAAAAAGGCTTTCGACAGAGTTCCACATAAGAGGTTGTTCTGGAAACTGGAAAATATTGGAGGGGTGACAGGTAAGCTTCTAACATGGATGAAAAATTTTCTGACTGATAGAAAAATGAGGGTAGTAATCAGAGGTAATGTATCGGAATGGAGAAATGTCACAAGTGGAGTACCACAGGGTTCAGTTCTTGCACCAGTGATGTTTATTGTCTACATAAATGATCTACCAGTTGGTATACAGAATTATATGAACATGTTTGCTGATGATGCTAAGATAATAGGAAGGATAAGAAATTTAGATGATTGTCATGCCCTTCAAGATGACCTGGACAAAATAAGTATATGGAGCACCACTTGGCAAATGGAATTTAATGTTAATAAATGTCATGTTATGGAATGTTGAATAGGAGAACATAGACCCCACACAAACTATATATTATGTGAGAAATCTTTAAAGAATTCTGATAAAGAAAGAGATCTAGGGGTGGTGCTAGATAGAAAACTATCACCTGAGGACCACATAAAGAATTTTGTGCAAGGAGCCTATGCTATGCTTTCTAACTTCAGAATTGCTTTTAAATACATGGATCGCGATATACTAAAGAAATTGTTCATGACTTTTGTTAGGCTAAAGCTAGAATATGCAGCTGTTGTGTGGTGCCCATATCTTAAGAAGCACATCAACAAACTGGAAAAGGTGCAAAGACATGCTACTAAGTGGCTCCCAGAACTGAAGGGCAAGAGCTACGAGGAGAGGTTAGAAGCATTAAATATGCCAAAACTAGAAGACAGAAGAAAAAGAGGTGATATGATCACTACGTACAAAATAGTAACAGGAATTGATAAAATCGACAGGGAAGATTTCCTGAGACCTGGAACTTCAAGAACAAGAGGTCATAGATTTAAACTAGCTAAACACAGATGCCGAAGAAATATAAGAAAATTCACCTTTGCAAATAGAGTGGTAGACGGCTGGAACAAGTTAAGTGAAAAGGTGGTGGAGGCCAAGACTGTCAGTAGTTTCAAAGCGTTATATGACAGAGTGCTGGGAAGACGGGACACCACGAGCGTAGCTCTCATCCTGTAACTACACTTAGGTAATTACACACACACACAGTGGTACCTCAGAATACGAGTTTTTTGGAATACGAACCGGATTTCCTCGGAAAATGTGCCTCGGAAGGCGAGGGTTACCTCGGAACACGAGTTTGTTGATACGCGTACAGGCCGACCTAGCGCGTGGTGGTACGGCGATCGTTGCCCCTCTGCCCCTCAGTTTACCAGTGCCTCGCGCCCAGTGACTATTACACGTCAATTCTTCACCCGGATTTTCAGTGTTTTGCTGGATTTTTGGTCATTTGACCATAAAAGTTGTTATTATATATATCTCACCATGGGTCCCAAGAAAGCCAGTGGTAAGGATCAAGGCAAGAAAGCCTATGTGAGGATGACAATAGAGGAGAAACAATAGATCATTCGGAAGCATGAAAATGGTACACGTGTTATTGAACTTTGTAGGCAGTACAACAAAGCCACATCAACAATATGCACTATATTTAAGAAGAAAAATGAGATTATGAGTGCTAAAGTGGCAAAAGGCGTAAGAACAATCACGAAACAAAGACCACAAATACTTGAAGAAGAGGAAAAGTTGTTATTAATTTGGATACACGACAAGGAATTAAGGGGTGATAGTGTTTCGGAGGCCATCATTTGTGAGAAAGCCAGGGTATTGCAGGAAGACCTTGTAAAGAAAACCCCTGGAACGAGTGATGCAGATACGAAAGAGTTTAAGGCAAGCAGGGGCTGGTTTGAAAAATTTAGAAAAAAAGTGGTATCCATAGTGTTGCGAGGCATGGGGAGGCAGCCAGCTCAGACAAACCAGCCGCTGAACGATTTATTGAAGAATTTAAAGA